ACATAAGAACTCAATCAAAAAAGAAGAAACGACCTCTTCCCTGGTCCAACACCTCAAAGCCACAGGACATGAAATTGATTTTAAAAATACCAGAACCATCGCCAAAACCGAACACTTCAACAGCAGAATAATCAGAGAAGCCATAGAGATAGAAAAATGCCCACACAGCATGAACAAACGAGATGACACCTCCCGCCTTCCAGCCATTTGGAAACCCGCCCTCATGAACAGACGAGTACCTAACATAAAGAAGGACACCAGACCCACACCCATGAGAGCCACACAAGATGCCACCACCACGCTTCCATGTAGAAAATAGACTCACACCCACTCAGATGAGACACGACCATGGACCAGAAGCTGCACTGCAGCTGCATCACTACCCACTTCAAACCCCTCCGAGCCATACATGAAGCAAACCGACACCCACTATGAAGATGCAGCACGACCACGAACTCGAAGCCAAACAGCAAGATCACAGCTCACCAGCTCAAATCCCCCAGCAACTAAGACTAACCTGAGCACAACCAAGCCCCCACCTGAACAGAACACGCCTCCAACCAATCAGAACACGGCTAACCCCCCAACCAATCAGAACACAGCCAAACCCCCTACCAATGAGAACACACCCCCACCCAATCAGAACACAGCCAAGCCCCCACCCAATCAAGTCCCACCCCCACTGGCAGTTAAAAGGAGGAAGCAGCTGCAATCTCCATTATTCTGAGAAGCACAGAGCCGGAGACAGAAGCCTGAAGATGATGAATGAGACTTCATCGAAACGTTGCCTAGATACTTCGAATCTTACGCGGGAGAAAACCCGAACAACCAAAGATCCACATACAAATACCCGCGAGAACCTCAGAAAACAAATATAGATATATATATATACATGTGTGTGTGTGTGTGTGTGTGTGTGTGTTTGTGTGTGTGTGTGTGTGTATTGTTATGACTGGTTGCATGGTCAGTCAAATCTGTAGACTGGATTTGGGATGCTAATCCATCTATGAAGGACCTGGGATAAACAGATGAACAGTATTACTAAAGTGCATGCTGACAGCTGCAAGGACATATTTAGCACAATTCTGGAAGACCAAAATTGGAGATTATTCAACAATGGCAAAACTAACCATATACATCTATTTGGCTGTAGACCTCTACCAAATTTAAGCAGGAATGTATCTCTTGTATACTTCATAGCACACAGCAATATAAATGTAGACATTTGGAATGTAGTTTCTTGAAAAAATGTTTGATGAGATAAAAATAATAAATGATCTTACTTAAAAAGATGTTAGCTAGTTCCTAGCATTTCCATTCCCCCCCCCTCCCGCCGCCCAAGCATATGAACGTGATAACTGGGAAAACAGGCACACAGCCTGTAATTTTTTCCATTATTGTTTTTTGAAATGGGAGTGTGAAGAGTATATGCAGGCAACTACTTGATCTGATGTACCTCTTTTTAGAACCTTTTCCTGTTGATGGAGGAGGTCTGCAGTGCGATTTGTTACAATGTAGGAAATAACAAATAGATAAATAAAAGCAGTTCTGCTGGTATTCAGAAGAACCTTCAGAAATTAGTTTGATTTGTTCACTGAAATGTTTCAGATAGACCAACAGAATTTGCAGCAAACCATGGTGATCTAAAAAGCATAGACATGCTCAGTAACATCATGTAAATGCCATCCTTTTAACACAGCATCCCAACATCAAACACAAATACATAATTTGTGGCAGTTTTTTGATGATAATATCACACACAGATGTAATCATTTTCCCCATTTGCTGCTCCCATTTCTCCACAGATGCTCTTGATCACTAAAGTATTGATGATTAACTCTTTCATAACAGAAAGCAAGAAGCTTTGGTTATGAAAGCTACATGCATACACAAATAGAGATACAGACCCGCATCCTCTCACACACACACAAACACACATGCAAACATACAAAGACACTAAATGCAACTGCCAGGTATAAAAAAGGAGATCAGGTGAATTCTTGTTCATTTTCCACTAAGGTACATGTAGAAATGAATACATGATAGAACTTATGAAAAGTGGTATTATTTTGTAAGAAAGAATACTTATGGGTCATCTTCCTTAAATCAACTCTCAAAAGCAGGAAAAATTTATTTCCCTATTTTTCCCAAGAATTCATTTTAAAGTCTATAATTAAAGAGAGTGATATTTTGCTTTGTTTTACTTTCCCAAATGGGTGCCATATTTTCCTCCTCTGACTGCCTAGAATATGTAATATACCTTTTACTGATTCAATTCATCTAACGCACTCCATCTTATGAATTCTAATTATCCTTATAATTCATCTTGAAGAAGAAGAAAAAGAATCTGGACTCTCTTGTGCTTTTAATTACTGAACCTTCTAAACTCAGGGTAAGACATTACTCCAAGGGGATGTTTCTTAAGATAACAACCTCAAACATATTTGTGTAAGATACAGATACCAGGAAGAGTACAATTCAAATAAGGTTGCAAACACATTGGGCTGTATATAGTTTTAATGCTCCAGAGTTTCTATTCCATGCTCTCCCTTTTCATACCCCTGAAAAGAACTATAACAAAATTCAATGAAATTTAACCAACAGGCACCTTTAGGACAACTTCCATTATGCATATTATCCACAAGGAGAACTGTTAAGGCATTTATGCTGTGCACATGAAAGGAGATGCCTGTATACATAAACAGCAATAGCCATATCAGTCTCGTAAAAGTTGTATCCTATAATGTTTGTAAAGAGATATTTTGGAGTATTTCTATGTACATTATTTAAATGTGTTCCATAACTCTGCTTCCCATTTAGTTGTGATGGGTTTCCACTGACAATCAAAACCTTTGGATTTTAATTTATGGCTTCTGTTGCATTGCATTAATTATCATGTTCTATTTTTTTGTCTATGCTATTGAAAAACCCTTTGAATGTTTTAAATGAATCAAAACCTCAGATGTAGTTGCTTAAATAACAAAAGATAGTGGAACATAATTTTCAGAAACATAAGAATCCCACAGCAAATATCAATAGCACTTAGACTTATATATTGTTTCACAGTGCTTTACAGCCTTCTCTAAGTGGTTTACTGAGTCAGCATATTGACCCCAATAATCTGGGTCCTAATTTTACCAACCTGTTATGCCCCTGTTGGATACTGACTCAGAGGGAGAGGAGGAACAGCTGACAGGGAGTGAAAGTGTGGCTCCGGAGGTTGTGGAGGAGGCTGGGGAGGGGCAGAGGCCAGCTGGGTAGTTAGAGGAAGACCCAGGCCCATCCCCTCTTCATCCTAGGGCACACAGGGAGGAATGGAGAAGGGAACAATGTGGCTTATGGGAGAGGAAGCAGCCATGATCCCCCTCATTGGCTGCAACTGGGGGGAATAGTATAAAGGAGGGACATTTAAAACACAGTGTTACTAGAAGCAAAGTGTGTTTTATTTCTGGCTGAGATTTATCTTGGTTGGCATTCTTCCAACAGACTGTGCCTTGTTATCTTCTTGAAGTTTGTAATTAATTATCCTGGTCTGTCGTGGAAATTCCTTCAGTGCAGTTTATTTTGGTTTTTTATTTCTCCGTTATCTGTTCTTTGAGTTTGGATTGTATTTCTTTCATTTGGAGACTATTTTGGGAAGAGTTTAATCTCCAACTGAACAATGAGGCCAAGTTGGAGGCATTAAAGGAAATTTATTTACGTTTGGGAAATGTGTGTGCTGCTTCCCGGGTCATCACTCAACCTCAGTAGGATGGAAGGCTGAGTCAACCTTGAGCCATTCAGAATCAAACTCCTGGAATGAGCCTGTAGTACTGCATTCTAACCACTGACCCACCATGGGGATATTTAATGTAATATACTCACTGCTAAAATCTTTGGTACATATAGTGCTTAATTTATTACCATTTGTCCTGTCACTGTTTGAAATTATGGTGCTGAGTAAATGGGCTTATGATGACTTATACTTGAAGTTACAACTGTTGTAGCAACTTTTCAGTCATGGGATCCACAATTTGGGTGCTTAGTAATCTGCTTGTCCCTAAGATTGAACATAGGATGCCACAAAGGAACCCACCCACCTATCTTTCCCCATTCCTCCCTGCCAAATCCCTTGGATCTACTTTTCATTTGGCTGGATCCCCACAGGCTTTGGGCCTACTTTCTTTGTTTCCTGTTTGTTCCCAGACTCTTGGGTCTCTTCCCCACCCAATCATGCCTTGCTCTACGTATCTTTTCTGAAGTTCACCTTTCAAAAGAGAATCAGCCAGTGCACTGTGTGGCCTTCTTATACGGAAGCCACTTCATGCAATATTACAGAACCAGACACCATTTTGAAAGCAGGCCACAATTCTAGCAACCTGAGAGCTGTGCAAAGAAATGCCATGGGAGAGGGGAAATCCCTGGGAGGCTCAGCACAGGCCATATGTAGGAGGTGCTACAATGTGAACTTAGCTTGAGCCTGAGCCTCCCAGGGCTTCCCTCCCTCAGATACTCCATGCTCTGCTTAATGCCCCTCAGAGTCATCTAGTGACTGCAAGAGCCAGGGTTGTAGTTGTTAAGTGAGGTGATCTCATGGGCACATCACTTAATAACTGCCACAACTTACAACCATAATTACAAGCTCAATTGTGGCCATAAGTCAAGGACTACCTTGCATCATACTAGAATTGTATGTTTTATTAAGACTGTGATGTAATCAACAACTATTTTAGATATTTAGATTTACAGGCTGATAAAAGTTTTAACTCTTAACTTTAAATCTACATTTATTTTGAAAAAATAACTTTTAACCTATTGAATAGTGTCTTATGATGCTTTATATGGGGAATTATGTTCAGCTTCATGTTCTCCCACGTGATATACATTTTAGTAGTAGTAATAGTACTACTACTACTGCTACTACTATTACTACTAAAATAAAATGTAGGCATATATCATAGCAAAAGAAAAATGATGAAAGACTTCCTCAAAAGTTTTGCAACAATCCTATAATAACTATTGATAGAGATAGATAGACAGAAAGATATTAGATATTTGGTCTTATATAGGATGTAGAATAAAATGTTCTTAGAAAAAAATATGATCAATTTGTTAACAATTCACCATCAGGTGAACTGACTCGGTTCCCATAGAAAATTAATACAGTATGAATTGTAAAAAAAGTCCTAGTCAGAAGATGAAATCTTTAAATATATCATTTTTTATGTACATTATTGGCAGATGACTCCATATCCTTGGGTTTGTTGAGGACAATGTAAGATCTATTTTCAAAGTATCATTCATTAGCTGTTCAACTTGCCTTGACATTAATGGCAGTCATACCTGCTCCATTATGACATGTCGTGTTCTTCTTCACTTTGTTATATTCTTGGTGAAAGTCATACAGTATATACTAAGTATTCAACCAGATGCCTTTGTTTTAAAAGCTCTCTCAGCTTTAAAGGATAAAGAACTCAGATTTGTACAGAGTAGGAAAAAATCCCACTACGTAGTTATTCCAAGCAAAGACCATTCCAAATCTCCTTTTCTTTATCTGAGGCATAGTAAACTCCAGTAATGAATTTTTCAAAAGCTTCTTTTATTAAGATTTGGCAACAGTAGCTTGCTTCATTCTCTAAGACTTGGAAAGCTGGAAAGGGTATTTTTTTTGCCAGTTTCATGAGCTAGGAGAAACGGCTCTATGTGAGGGTATTACAAGATACATCTGTTCAAATCTGGCATAGTAGAAATAGTAACACTTTTCAGGATGTAATATTAGGACCTTTAAAGCTGTGCCAAATATTGGGGTGGACGTTCAGGAGCAGAAAGTAGAATATCCAAAGGGAAGCATGTATGCTTTCTGTTTATTTATAAAGTCCAAAAGATTTTGCTGTTGTCTTATCCAGCTTTAAAAGACAGATTGCACTTTGGGCAGCAGATTCATTGTAACATGGTTTTAGTAGGATTCCAGAAATACTGGATACTATCTGTTATCAGCACCATTGTCAGAAATACTATACTAAAACATCAAAACACACAAACCTCAGGTTGCTATCAAGTGAAAACGCTGGTTCCTTAAAACTGAGGGGGAAAAGTCATGGACAACTTATTAGCTATTGCAGCACTTCCACAATAAAGACTCATCCTTCCCCGGAAAGTCACTAACATCTGGTACTTTGATCAATGCCGAAGGGGTAACCTACATTCTGCCCTAAGTCCTATTTATGTATATTCTCATTCATCTCACCAGGAGAACACAAATTCAAAATATTATAGAATAGGAAGAAAATCTTAGTTAATTAGGTTTTCACAGATACAGTGCAACTACCAAATTAATTTAAGTAGGTCAATCAATATAGCAGGTGAGTTTACTAAAATATATTTTATTATATTTTATATTATATATTTTATTGAGTAATATATTACTCAAGTCTATTGATAATGCACAGAGCGATCTTATTTAGACCAAATATAGAAACTATATACTGAGAAAATATTCTACTCAAACTTGACTTTGGTTCCTTTCTACAAAAATTCAAAGATTGTCTCTAAATATTGGCATTTGAAACACTTCAGTTCAGAGGTCTCCAAACTTGGCAACTTTAAGACTTGTGGACTTCAACTCCACGAATTTTTGAGAACCCCTGCTTTAGTTCCCAGTAGAAATAGAAAGTTAGGAGAAAAAATAGAGATCATTTTATTAAAGAAATGCTACTAGGCATTGGCAGCACCTGTATGACCATGGGAACTATCTTGAATCATCCTAGATTACGAGTGTCAAACTCAAGGCCCAAGGGCTGGATCCAGCCCATGAGGTGCTTAGATCTTCTTGCAGGGCCACCCTGGAAACAGCGAAGGACTGGCCCACGGTGCCTCTGCCAACAAAAACATAGCTCAGGAGGGCCTCACGTGGCCTTCCCTGGTTTCATTTTTGGCCATGATGGCCTCCTGCAGCCCTCTGCCAGTGAAAATGGAGCCCAGGAGAGCCATGCACTAGCAGAGAACTATAGGACTGACATTGAGGTTACCCCACCCCATGTCAAACACAACCCTGTTGCGGCCCTCAATAAAATCGAGTTTGACACTCCTGGCCTAGATAATATTTGGATTATATTTCAGGGACTACAAAAACTGCAAATTACACTGAAATGTAAAAAAATATATATCCTGGAAATAAAGGGAAATTATTTTCATAGAATTGCTAAAAAAGTCAGGGACATTATCTGTGAAGTTACAGCAGTCAGGCCAGGTTAGAAGAGGCTACATATTCATTTTTTTCCTAGCAAATTATTGTAAATGTAACCATTCAGAGGAAGAATGACTTCAAATGTCTGACCAATTTGGATCAAGAGCCCTTTGCAAATAAAGCAGAAGAGTAGTTGTTGCAGCAAATGATTTAGTTTGAGCTGACTGGTGCTTATACTCTCATAGATGATATAATTCCACAAAGAAAGGTCATTCTCAGAAGAAGAAATCATGTGTTATTTATTTCTGAGGAAGATTCAGGGAAGTAATTGAAGAAATAGAGACCGCATTTAAAGACTATGATGGAGAGATGAATCTCAAGCAAATAGGCAGGAGTTGTACAGCCCCATTAAGAAACCTTATTCTGAAGAGACAAAGAATTGCAAAGAATTCTGCTACTCGTGTTGGCTTCTATAAATATTGATGGTGTTTATGAATATTTTATTCTACCAAGACATAATGGGAGAACAGAGGATGCCCATAAAATATAACCACTAGGGAAATAAGTCTAGTAGTATACTTACAGTCAGTTATGGGTTTATGAAATTGTGGCAGGGCACATTTTCTTTTTTATTATGAATCCTGAACTACAAATCTGAAACAATTGACCTTCAGCCAGTTTGTTTGCAATACAAACTTTGTTTATTTAGATTATTCTCACACTTGGGTTGAGGTTGTAAAACATTCTAATTAACTATGTCTTTCTTAGACCTTGGATGCTTAAATTAGAACAGGTGGATTCACTTCTCTGAGTCTTTCATTTCAGGTTTTTATTGAACCATCTGAGGAAATTCTCAGGATGTTGGGACAGTACAGTAATACTTCCAATGCAAGGCACAGGAATCGCATTTTCCATTACATTGTAAAGCGATTAACATTTATAGGTAGGTTGGGATAATCCTGAATTCCTTGGCAACCTTTGATATATAAATTGATGAAGTGCATGGTTATGAAGCAGGAGCTCTTAGTAGAAAAAAGACTAAAAATGGTATGTTATTGCAAAATGGTATGTTATTGGAAATAGGCAATCTGGTATCTTTCAGGTATCTTGAATTTCAAACTTT